GAGAGAGAGAGAGAGAGAGAGAGAGAGAGAGAGAGAGAGAGAGAGAGAGAGAGAGAGAGAGAGAGAGAGAGAGTGTTGGTGGCAACCCACCTGTAGCAGTTCGGTGATTGCTCTTCGCTCCGATTGCCTGCTCCAGGTACCTCCTGCTGCGCTCTGCTGCCTGCTGCTGCCTGCTGCTGCGTGATGGAGTTGTCTCCTCTTTCTTGCCCGAGCAATGGCTGGTGCTGCTGGGGATGGCTGGGCACGACGACGAACGAAAGCAGAAGACGACCACCAAGGAGAATGGGACAACGGGCAAATACACCCACTGCTGGGATGCCCAAAGGTTGCCCGGGGGAGGTGTGAGTAGTTAGAAAAACGAACTACTCAGACCTCCCCCAGGCGGACCATTTTTTTACCCCTCCGGGCCTCCAACCCCCCACCCCGAACTTTTTTTTTTTTTGACGATCCACCGTTTGGCTGGTGCGCCGCATGCCGTGCGTGTGGAGGCTGCGCGGTACGCCCTGCTCCGCACGTGCGGCGATGCCGCGCACGGCATGCGCCGCAACTATGGTCATAATACAACATTAAAAAAACGAACAGGCAAAAAAAATAATAAAAAAAAAATCAAAAGCTGTTACATGCCCAGTTGGGCGATGTACATATAAACCGAGGATCCGCAATGTGATAGAAAGGACTGAATGGACAATGCAGTGCGAGTGGAATCTCAACAAGCAATGTGCATTCTGATACATACAAAATGGTGCTTTATAGCGCAGGGAAGACCTTAGATACAAGTCCTGACCTGATTGGGACTGACCTCTATCACGTAGTGCAGGACAGCGCAGCAGAATGTTAGAATACCAAAGACTAGCCCAATCAATGTTGCAACGCAGACCAAACATACATCATGCTCAACACAAGGTGTGAACGGGCCTGGCGCTATACACAGGAAGGAGGCGCCAGGTCCAGGCATGCACAGATGAAGAGGAGGGGATCAGACGAAGAAGAGGAAGGGGGAGATGGGAAAGTCGTCAACACCAAGTCTCGTTGCAAGTCCCAAATAATCCCTCTTCAAAATGTCTGAAGTCCAATGTCGAGTCTGGATCCAGATGTCACCAAGCTCTCTCTCTCTCTCTCTCTCTCTCTCTCTCTCTCTCTCTCTCTCTCTCTCTCTCTCTCGCTCGCTCGCTCGCTCGTAGTCTGCTGATGCAGTGAAGTCAGATAGCGAGAGGGTGAGAAGGAGATGGTGGACTGAGAAGAGGAAGAAGAACTCTCTCTCTCTCATGTGCCAGGTACTAACCTGTGAAGATGGCGCTGTGCTGCAGGTACCTCGAAGACGAAGCTGGAGCAATGGCGCTGCAGGTAGGTCTCCCTGGCCTCCGCCCAATCTCTCTCTCTATAGTACTACTCTAGCTCCTAGGGCGCCCAGCGCTGAAGACTACTGCTAACACTGCCACTACTACTACTGCAGCGCTCCTACAGAGTGCTGCTGCCGAATCCTGAAGACTACCTCCTGCCTCCTGAACTGCACGTGAAGTGCCTGGGAAGTACCTAGGAACTACCTGCAGACGGTAGGGCGGGCCAGTCTTATATAATGCTGGCCCGTCCAGGAGGCTGCTCTTGCCAATGTCAAAACGTGCCAGACCCTGGGGTTGAAGCTCAAACAAAGGTTGTCTTAAAAATAGGCCAAAAATGGCCTGAGCTAAAACCCTGGTCTGGTGCCTGAGTTTCAGGGCAGGTCGATCTTATGAGGGCCTAAAAATGGCCCTCAGTTTCAGGCTGAAAAGACTCAGGGCCGGAAAGGCCCTGATTTAGCCTGAAACGACACAGGGCCTGTAGGCCCTTGTTTTCAGGCTTTCAGGCTGAAATGACACAGGGCTTGTAGGCCCTTGTTTTCAGGCTTTCAGGCCGAAACGACACAGGGCCTGTAGGCCCTTGTTTTCAGGCTTTCGGGCTGAAAACGACACGGGCCTGAAAATGGCCCGCGCAGCCTGTTGCAGGTGCAGCATGTAACAAGAGCACTATAAAACCCTATTCCGCGTACCTGCAATCAGACTCGACTTATTCACACGTTGCATGCACGTGAACAGCAGAACAACAAACTGGCGACCTGCGCCCACACAGCACTCAGAGATATCACAACCAGATAAGAGTTCTCTTGTAATTGGCTATGGCGGCTGTGCGCCCAAACAACTCACTGCTCACACTCTGGATCACCCTGTATGTCCCACTCRCATCACTCTAAACACCCASACAGTACACACACTCTGCACTCTATACTAAGCTATGGCAGCTATGGCTGCCGCTACCTATCGCTATGGCTACACTGCTTCACTCTCGCCCACTTCGTCTTCGGGCTTCCTGCAGACCTCCTTGCACAAGACGCTGAAGCAGCGCTTCYGCATGGCTTCCGCATGAATGAATGAATGGCTGGACGCAGCCTCTTGATTTATACTTCTGTGTCTCGCTGGTCTGCCCCTTTGTCCCCTGRCCCATGGTGCACACAGTCCCAAATGGTACTKGCTTGACTGGACCGGACTGGGTGGACTGGGACTGCAGACTGGACTAGGTGGACTTCCACCACTTGACCACTTGCCTCTGCCTAACATAGGCTGACTCCGAAAGGCYGCTTCTAGAACTCCCTGCTTTGGCCTTTCGGTAYTGTAGCAGCTACGACTTTGCCCCTTCAGGTAAGTAGCAGCTACGACCTTGACCCTTAGGACAGCTTACAGCTACGACCTCTGGACTGTCTAGACTCCTACCCGACAAGTCTACAGTTCGAATCCCTGCTACCCCGTAACCTACGACACCCTACCTACCACTGGCGGTCCTACAGGTCGCAGGTTCAAATCTACGGGTTGACACCGGTACTGTACACAGGTAAGATGGGGAACTAGGGATCGAGCCCTGGGATCTGCATCAGCTATTGTGAACTGGTGAATACCGTTTCACCCCTTCCGGCCTAAATTCGAGGTCCTCCGAGAGAATTTCAGTCCAAGGCAGGACCTTTACCTCTCTGTTGTCTTTCGTAGGGCCGGACTATATCGGGAGCTGTCTCTAGAAGTTCAGATCTCGTAAACCAGCGGTCGTCTTCCGGTTCCTGATAACTAAAATGAACTTTGTACTGTTTCTGTGGACGACCCCTACCTCCAGTCCTGAATACATCTTCAGCCACTATGTCATCGATGTCATACCTTCCATCCATATCGGGCGGAATCATCGACCTACGGGATGGAAACTGATCACTTGTTTGACAAGGTAACAACTTCGATGCATGGAAGACTGGGTAAGTGTGGAGGTGTGCTGGGAGTTCTATGGTATAGGACGGTCCATCTTCGTCGTCCTTGACTTCCAGAACCGGCCACGGTCCTCTATACGTAGGCAGTAACTTCTGCGAACAAGGGCAAACTCTTTAGACTGGACCCAGACCAAGTTGCCTACTTGGAACTGTGAAGGGCGACGATGCTTGTTCGCCTGTTCGATCATGCGGTGCTGGGCCTTCCTGAGATTCTCAACAACAGTTGCTATCTCCTTCTCGTTGCTGAATCGCAAACTCCCTGGTTCCGGGCGGTAACCTATGAATCTGATCCCGGTTGAGTCCCTCAAACGGTCTACGCGGTCTAAAGGACTTGTGCAGTTCGTTGGGAGTGCGGCACGTGGACAGATGCACACTGTTATTGTACGCACTAGCTACCTTTGGCAACATCTCATCCAGTTAATCTGATCTGGTCTAATGTACATGCGCAGAACTTGTTGTAGGATCTTGTTCATTTGCTTTGTCTGACCGTTAGTCTCAGGATGGCGGCCGGACGACATCAACAACTTAGATCCATATACTCCCATGAGTTCTTGCAGTTCTGGCTGGTAAAGCGGCTATCTCTATCGCTAGCTATTGACTGTGGGATTCCAACAGTCAAAAAACTTCTGTATCACTAAATCAGTACGTGCCTCTGAAGGCAAAGGAACAAAAACAGTGTACTTACTGAAACAGTCAACTATGACCATGACTTGGCTCTTGCCATGCCTACTCTTGACTTGAGTGTCCATGAAGTCTATGGACACTGAGTCTCCCGGCTGATCCGGAATGGGCAAGGGTCTGAGAAGACCTAACGGGGGCACGCGTAGAAGTCTTGTTACGCTGGCAGACTTTACAACTGCGAACATACTCTATGCAGTTATTCTTCATCCCTGGCTAGGTATATGCGCGCATCAGATTGGCTAAAGTCTTTTGCCAACCAAAATGACCCTCTGTGTCGTGGCATTCTCCCAAAACAGACTACGGATCTCTTCACTACTGGGAATGCACAGGCGGTCAAATACATTAGTCTTCTCAAAGAGCAACCCTTTGAGTAGTGCGGTAGTTCGACTCAGTCTCTGGGGCCTCCTTGGCCCTCTTGAGGAGGTCACTATAGATAGGGTCATGCGCATAGGCTTCCCTAACCTTCTACTGCAGGTCCTTCCCTATGTCTAGGTAATGTACTATTGCCCCAAAGTAATCAACTCTCCTACTCAGAGCATCCGCAACTACGTTATACTTTCCCTTGACTGGCTTGAGCTCAAAGTCATACTGATCTATTTCTGCGGCCCACCTACTTAGGTGTCATACTGGAAGCGTCTTTAACCATCTCAACGTCTCATGGTCTGAGTAGACTTTGAAGTGCCTCCCAAGCAGGTAATGCTTCCAGTGTTCTACCGCTTGCCTGAGAGCGTAGAGTTCCCTCTCATAGGTAGATGTCACGACCTTCTCTGAAGGCATTCTGGCGGACATGAACTCTACGGGTCTATAGCTATGGCCATCGTCTTGCTGCAAAACCGCATCTATGCCGTACTGACTAGCGTCCGTAGTGACGACAAAAGGCAAGGACGGATCGGCTACCTTAAGGACTGGATATTCTATCAACGCCTGTTTCAACTTCTTCATAGCAGACGTGCAGTCCTTATCCCACTTCCAGATGGTCTCCTTCCTGRGCAATCTGCGRAGRGGCGCARCGATGGTGGAGAAGTTCCTCACGAACTTCCTATAGTAGTTTGCTAGGCCTAAGAACGACCGCAACTCTGTCAACGTATGCGGTGTGGGCCAGTCTCTAATAGCTGCTATCTTACAATCCTCTGGCTTAACGCCGTCTCCGTCTAAGACGTGGCCTAGATATGGGACTTGGGTCTTCGCCCAATCGCACTTCTTTGCATTGATCTTGAAGTTGGCTTCCCTCAGCTTCTCCAAGACCTGCCTGAGATGACCCTGATGCTCGTTGAGGGTCTTACTAAACACTACAATGTCATCTAAGTAAACTATAACAAATCTGTCTAACCACGGCCTAAACAAGTCATTCATACTCCGCTGAAAAGTTTTTGGCGCATTGGTTAGTCCAAAGGGCATCACTATGAACTCGTAGTGCCCATATCTAGTTCGGAATGTTGTCTTATACTAGTCATCAGGATGAACCTCTATCTGATGGTATCCGGACTTCAAATCTATCTTAGAGAAATACTTGGCCCCCTGCACTCGATCTAAGAGATCGTCTATCCTCGGCAGTGGCTCAACATTCTTCACTGTAATAGCATTCAGACCCCTGTAGTCTATACACATCCTTAGCTCTCCCTCCTTCTTGGGGACAAACAGAACAGGTGCTCCAAACGGAGAGGAACTGGGCCTAATCCAACCCTTTTCAAGGAGCTCGTCCAATTGCTTGCGAAGCTCCTCCAACTCCCGCGGGGACATTATGTACACAACGCCTTTAGGAGTTCTACTGCCAGACTCTATCTCAATACGGTGCTGGATGGGCCGCGGCACTTTTCCTGTCGGCGGCTCAACTAAGTCCTTAAACTCTTCCAACAATTTGGCAATAGCAGGGTCTATGGGCTTTTCTTCCTTAGGCTCAGTGACTGGCCTAACATAGGCCACAAAAACCTGTTCTTCTAACTGCTCCTTTTTCACTAGTCATGCAAATGCAGGAGCACTAAGGCAGCAATGTGCCAAGGAGTTATCTACTCCTGACACATGGTACAGACGCGCAGTCTTAACATCGCCTGATGGGCTAGGGAGCCTACACTCATGCTCCCTCAAGTGGAGTGTGGCCCCGACTGCCTCTCCCCAGTCCATACCCAGGACTATATCGAATGGGAGGCTATCCTCTACGAGGAGAGTCAGGGAATGGAGAACTTTCTCTACTTTCCCATCCTTCTCTAGGCGGATATATGCCTGGACTCCCTCTACGTAGTCTTCTACTCGGATCGTGCGATTATCCGCAAGGATACTGACTACAGGGTCTGCAAACTTTTAGACTTTTAACTGCAGCTTTAACTTTTGCAGCGTCTTCCTACTAATGTAACTACGAGTGGCTCCACTATCCACTAAGGCGCCAACTCTACCTCTAAAAATCTCCGTATCTACCAATATAAGCTGCCCTTTATTCTCCTTCTTCATCTTGGCCCAGRCGGGCATCCTCTCCTTCAATTCTTCGGCCGCATCTGTTGTCGCGTCCACTCTCCTCTTCTTCTCCCTCATCACTGCCAGTTTCCACTCCATCCTCTTCTCATCTTCCATCGCCTGGCGTTTTATGACATCTTCCTCTGCGTCCCAGGCTCTCATAGCGGCTTCCTGATCATCCTTGGGGATATACATCGCCACCTTTTCTTCTTCACCCAGGGATAGGTTGGCGACCCATTCTGAAATCCGTTTTTCCATCTCATCATCTTTGCTGCCACTGTACTGCCCCCTCTTCCTTTGCAGTGGCGTTTCATCTTCCTCCTCTTCCTCTTCCACCTCTTTCAACTTCTCCTCTTCTTCTTTCTTTCTTCTCTCCTTCTCTCTGGCCATCTCTTCCTCTATCTTCTTCAGCTTGGCCGCCTGCCCCTCCTGTAGGGCCTTCGTCTTGGCCTCTTTCTTCTCCTTTCTTTCCCTCAGGACGACGGTCATCTTCTCCTCCTCCTCCTTCGTGTACGGCTTAGTGGAGGCACCACCCCGGGTATCTACTCTACACGTAAAGGTGTGCCAGAACCCCAGAGGGAAGAGGAGACGCCAGAGGGTCCCCCAGAGGGAGAACCCAACAAGCAACCCATACATCGGATAGTCATCCATCGTGGTGTCAGGTGCACGACAAGAGTCCCACTCCTCACCACTTAGACCTACTGGACACTGACCCACTGACTGACTCTCTAAGGTCACTACTCAAAACTACTAAGGCTGTCACTACTAAACCAACAACTGATCTGGAGGCATTTAAGGAAATCCCCCAAACTCCGCAAGAATTCTTTAACGTCGCAGTCAGGACGACGTGATCAGCGTGGTTCTGCCTGTGCTTTCAACCCACAACTCAGCCTTTCCGGCCTACTGTGCCACACCGAGCAGCCCGCCGGTCTGTACCGGTCCTTGGAGGGGTTTGTGTCCCTCGGGACAGTCGAGTCGTTAGACACAAATCATCAGCCTTACTTGGTCCGGTAGGGGGGTGGTTCAAACAGGCCCTCAAGACTTAAAGACTGGCTGGTGTGTCAGCCTTAGCTGTCGTTCAGGCCCACTGAGTCCTACCAACCGTTTCCAGCCGGTCAGCACCGGTCCTTGGGAGGGTTATGCCCCCCTGGAAAGTTGGATCAGCCCCAGCCTCAGCCCTACATGGTCAGACTAAGGTTTCGTCATCCAACCCTATCCTTCATCCACAAAGTCCTAACACCTAGGACAGAAGAGACTCAATGCAGAAAGGAAACACAGACAGACTCAGACTCAGCAAATGCCGTAGGGTGTGTGCACATCCACAGGGTAAGGGGATAGGTTAAGGGCTCAGCGAGATATCACCAACTCCAGCTTGGTCAAAATCTTGGTCAGCAGCCCCGGTCAACGCCTTGGTCAACGTCGAGTCAACGCGGACAACTCTTGGTCAACGCTCAGTCAACCCCTTGGTCAACGCCTGGTCAACCCTCTGGTCAACCCCTGGTCAACCCCCGGTCAAACCTTCACCTCGGCTATGGCTGCCGGCACCTTCACCTTCGTCACCCTCGTCACTTCCTTCCCATCCTTCACCTTCTTCTTCCTCACTGTCTTTCTTCTGCTGTTTTTTTTTTTTTTTTTTTTTTCACCCTCGGCTATGTCTGTCTTCTTCTCCGGTGTCCTCCTTCCACACTTCTCCCTCTCCTCAGTCCCTCCTTCTCTGTCCTCCCTCTCTCTCTCCTTCAGTACCCTGTGTTGATGCTCGGCGGCTGTGGCCGCTGTCTTCCTTCTCCACCTGACTACGCAACTCGCCTCACAGGTAAGTGACAACCAATCTTGGATCGCTTATCTCTCTCTCTCTCTCTCCCGCCGTAGCGGTATCTTC